GAGAGCGCCTGACCTCCATGAGGAGGGCGCAACGGTGGACTTCCATATGCCAAACTGGTTACCCACGGACTGGTAGCTGTCTAGGGCAGCGAGCATCCAGACGGTGATGGTGGATCACATCTGGGTGTCCCGTTGACGGAGGCCAGGGGTGAGCCAGGCACACAGCTCCATGAAGGTGGCCTTCCTCATCCTGAAGTTCTGCAGCCACTGCTGGTCACCGCACCGCTCCATGCCCAGCCAGTCCCACCAGTAGGAACTGGTGTCCAGCCTCCAAACATGTTTCTCCACAGTGGGATGCAGTTGCAAGGGCTTCGTTCCTAAAGCCAGGCAAAGGGTCTCACTGATGAGCTCGGGGTTGAGCTTCTGCAGGGTTGCGAAGGCAGCCTGCACATAGTGCTGCAGAAACAGCAGCGTGGACGAGCGGGGCGGTCGCGTGCCCAGAGGCAGCTCCGGCTCCATGGCAAGGGGTGTGCTGTGGGGTCCAAAAACTGGGCAACCAGAGCACACACTGCACATGCTCTGCTGTCCCTGGGAGATGCAGCAAGCATGCAGCAGCAGCTGAGAAATGGCTGTCCAGGGGGTCCCTTTGAGCACGTCTCAGCTAGCCTTTGGCAGGAGCAGCTGGAAGCAACTGCTGACCTAATGTCCTACCCAACCTGGTTCTGGATGGCCTTAAATGCCAGATAGCGTCCAATCGGTGTGGACGCTCTCTTTCAAAATAGCACGTCACTCTTCCTTTGCGCTATGGATCGCTTCTGGAAAAGCTTATTCCAAAAGAAGCTTGCAGTCTAGACGTAGCCTGTTTCGCGTGGGAGTGGTTTGCATGGGTGTGCAACAGGATGTTGGATGCTTGTAAGAAAGGGGCTGGTTGGCAGGTGTCAGAGGCAGAGAGCGACACAGAGTCAACTGACAGAGACGTACAGAGGAAGGCAAGAGAAGCAGGAGGTCTGGGTGTGGGGACAGACAGTGGTTTGACCCTGCAGGCTGTGGGAGGAGGTGGATGAAGGTTTCATCCCACCATGAGGACGCTTTCAGCCCTTCTGTGCATCCTTGGTCAGTGGGAGTCACAGGCTCTTTCTCTGGGTTTCCAGCCTGGCTAGAACGTTATGTTTTCCAGGAGGTGACAAGTTCTTCCTCGCTCACTTTCTGCCTCTCTCCCTGCAGTGGGTCTGAGATGGGCCCTGGCCCAGGTGTTCCAGCCACCCCAGGTCACAGTCGTCGAAGGAGAAAGGATCCTGATCCCTTGCAGCCAAAACGCCACCTCCCACGATTCGATGTATTGGTACCAACAGCCCCAGCAGGGCTGGGGGGCGCTGAGCTTCCTAGGGATGGGGTACAAAGACTCCTCCGCCGCTGGAGAGTTCACCATGGTTGTGGACCCGGCCTCCCGCTCCACCAACCTCACCCGCGACAGAGCCAGGCTGAGAGAGGCCGGCACCTACTACTGCGCCGTGAGGGACACAGCAAGGGGAACCCAGGGCCCAGCTGCACAAAAACCCACAGCCTGGCTTCCTGCCAGCCTGCTCGCAGCACCACGGCCTTCCCCGCACTGGCTGTGCTGAGCCCCCTCGACTGCCAGGGGGCAAGGATGGATTTACCCTCACTGGGGATCAGTTCCATTGACTCCAATGGGACTAGCCCACTCTACACCAGCTAAGGGTCTGGCTCATGGAGCTTCCCATAAATACACACCTGTGCTTTCATGCACCCCCCTGAACACGGGCAACTGCTGAATCTGTGATCTGCTCGGTGGATGCCCTGGACCTTTTGGGATTGGGAGACTTTTAGAAGGTCTTGTAGGCAGGAAATTTTAGAGACACCGAAACGAGCGAGGCACCTAATTCCAACAGGACAGCAGTGCCTAACTCCCTTAAACCCCTCTGACACTCCCAAAGAAACTTGTTCTCCGCCTTTGGCCCTGTATTACCAGCCGAAACCACTAGAGGGCGCTTGGTGCCTGGATAGAAATAATGCTTCACTTTCACATTCCCTTAGCAATACAAGGTGTGAAAATTCTCCAGCCACAGGGTCCAGCAATCTGGCACTGATGGGCATCAGAGGTTAATTTCCCTGACAGCTGTTTATGCCATGGCTGCTGTCTCACCCCTCCCATACTTTATGGAAATTGGCATGAATATGCACATGCATAACTCGGAAGTGCTTTAGATAGAATACATCTTGTACCTGATCCTTTTACAGTCACAACCTGCTGACTGTGTCTATTGCACTTTACTTGAATGAGAAGTTGGAAATATTAAGTGGAAATCTGTTTTATTTGTCCAGCTGTTCCAGTAAAATCCATTATTGATACTTTAGTAACTTACTGCCTGGGTAATCAAGTCAAGGACCTGTGAGTGGTTTTTGTTTTTTCTGTAAGACCATCCTGTGGTTGGCCCTACAAAGACATAGAGACCGGCCACCTAATGCTAGATCCCATTTTATTTCTGGTAGTTTTCCACTCCAGGTGAGAAAAAAATTGAGATGAGGACAAAGCATGTCTGCCTTGGACAAAAGGGTTACAAAAGTGCAAAACCAAACAACAGCGGGAGTGGCAAGCAGGAAGAATGTAAGACTGAACAAGGGGGATGATTGGGCCCTAGCTAGAAGCCTACCCAGCTTGTGAAAAGATAATTAATATGTTAGGGTGAGAATTTGCATTTAGCAAGTTTCTTAGTGAAATAGGAGGAACTGACCATTTCTGTTTATTTTGGCTTACTGACTAACTTTTCTCTGTCATCACTTGCAATCATGTAAATCCCACTTTTTATACTTAATAAAACACTTGTGTTCATTATCAAGCCAAGTGTAAATAATTGCTACCTGCAGGGATCAACCAGTGTGCATATCTCTCTTTTGTGGAGAAGTTTCTCTGTGTTAAAACTTTTATACAGAGAGATGCATTGATTTGGGGATTTGGTGCCTTTGAAGGCTGGATTGTGTCCAAGGCCCAGAGCTGAGCTGCGGGCACGGGGTGGGGGTGGGTTACCCCAAGTATGTGCTTTGGCTAGGGGAGATTAGAGCCTCTGACCCAGCAGGAGAGGGTTGGTGGGATCTTTACCACAACAGGGGACAATCCCAAGGAGCCCCCTGTGAACCAGCCCATCACAGCTACCTCCTGCTGGGTTTCTCACACCTTCTAACACAGGTGGCCCTTTGTCCCAAGCCACTAACTGGAAAACAGCTGAGGCAAAGGGCTAGTTAATTGCTCCCTCTGCTGAAGTCTGAGACAGGGGGAGGGAGCTGCCTAAGGGCTCAGCTCCCAAAGGCCTGGCTCAAGAGCAGCATAAATGTTCCTGCAGCCTGAGCTCATGAACACTTCTGGGGTGCCCACTGTGGCTGGGTCAATGTTGCACAGTCCCTACACAGGTCAGGTGTGCCAGTGAGAGAGACTCTCTCTACATTCCCATGGCAGGAACTGTGCTCAGATCTCAGGCGGCTTGGGCTGAGAAGGGCTGACTGTGTGTCTGCAGATGAAGCAAATGAGGGAGAAAGAACTAAAGGGTCCCACTGCCTGGTGACTGCGTGACTCTCCACTGAGGCACAAAGCGTAAGCTACTTGAGTGTCCTTCTTGTCCATTTCCGCCTTTGCTCTGGCTCTGGGACGGTTTCTTTCTCCCCTTCTCTCTCTCCAGTCTCTCTACCTGGCCACTAGCTGGGGCAGCCCAGAGCTCAGACCTGGTACAGAACTGCTCAGTGTCATACAAACTGGTCGTTTCTGGCTCAGGGTGAAACCGATCATGAGATTCCATGTGCGCATGGAACTTCCCCCAGGCCAGATCTGCAGCGACCTTTGGGGTGTTTTCAGCTTCTGCTGCAGCAGGGGGTTGGTCACCTGCTGGGATAGTCCGTGTCTCTCCCTCTGTCAGTTCCCAGCCTTGAGAGCTGATGGCTCCTTGATCTCTCCTGCTCTCTGCCTGAGGTCACTGAAGTTGAGTTGTTGAATACCGAAGTGCTTTGGTACAAGTTGTGTCCGTGCATCGGGGTTCCCCCGATCCTGCACCCCTGTAGCACCAAGAATAGACTCCACCAGCCAGTAGAATAGAGAGGGTTTATTGCTGCTCCAGGATACAGCATAGACGTGATGTAGTTTCTGGAGTTAGGGCCAGGATGCCTCAGACCCCTTGGATTAGGGGGTCCATGGTCACCCCTAGGCCCTCAGGCCTCAGCTAAGGTTGTTCCCTTCATGTTTCCCAGCCAGCAACTGCCCCTTGCCCCGAAACCTGGAGTTCGTCTCCATCTCCCTCCCTTCCCTCAACCGATCGGACAGGTTGGGGTCTTTGCCTACGTGACTTAGGCTGCCGTCCTGCTGGGCAGTGCTACAGATAAAGGCCAGGACAGGTTGGGGTCTTTGCCTACGTGACTTAGGCTGCCGTCCTGCTGGGCAGTGCTACAGATAAAGGCCAGGAGGGGTCATCCCCAGCCCAAACACAGCCTCCAGTGGATGACCATAGTGTATGGCCTAGTGTATGGCTTGCCCACTACATCACACAAGTGAAATCACCAAGCTCAGGGTATGTGTGTGTTTGGATCTGGTGGAATTTAACAGCCTGTGATGTGCTAGATTAGCACATGGGCCTGTCTGGCCTTAAAATCTCTGAAACTTTCTCTCTCTCCACCATTCAATGCACAGTTTCTCTTTATGTGCATGCAGAGGAGAAATGTCATTATCACACTGAAGCATATTGGAGGTTTTCTTTGAGCCGGTACACTCACTGTGAAGGCCCCTAGGAGTCAGGTAACTTCATGTTGCAATTCATGATAATTTCCTTGGCTTTTAGTAAGGATGCTGCAAAGATGGCTGAGCTCTAAGAACTGAATAGAATATAGTTGAACAGAGTCAAGCAGAGTCGTACAGAATCCACCAAATATGAGGCAGTCGCTTTCACCAAACTTAGGCTGACTAGGAAGATTTGCCTTTTGAGATGGTGGGGTGCATGGTTCATTAAGCTTCCTAATCTAGTTCCATTATCTCTGTGCCCTCAGGAATGACTCAGTCTCACATGGAAATGGAGAATCACACCATGGTGTCAGAATTCATCCTCTTAGGCATCCCCAATACCGAAGGTCTTGAGAACATCCTCTTCATGTGCTTCTCAATCTTCTACTTCTGTTCCCTGCTCAGCAACCTGCTCATCTTAGCAGCCGTCCTTGCTGACTCCCGCCTGCACACCCCAATGTACTTCTTCCTCTGCAACCTCGCCATGCTGGACATTGGATACTCTTCCATCAGCACCCCGAAATTGCTGGCCAACTTCTGGGCCGAGAATAAAACCATCTCCTTGGGTGGGTGCATATCCCAGGTCTTCTTCTACCACTTCCTGGGCAGCACCGAATGCCTGCTCTACACTGTCATGGCATATGACCGGTACGTGGCCATCTGCCATCCGCTGCGCTACCTGCTCATCATGAACAACAGGGTGTGTGCCCTCCTGGCCGCCGGCACCTGGATCACCAGCTCCTTCCATGCCACCATCCTCGCCAGCCTGACGTTCACGCTGCCTTACTGTGGGTCCAATGTGATAGACTATTTCTTCTGCGACATCTTCCCAGTGGTCAAGCTGGCCTGTGCAGACACGTATATCATTGAGACCGTGACCTTCACCAACACTGGTATGGTGCCCACGACCTGCTTCTTCCTCATCCTCATGTCCTACGTGAGGATTGCAGCCTCCGTGGTGAAGATACGCAGTGTGGAACATGGTCAGAAAGCCTTCTCCACTTGCGCCTCGCACCTGACGGTGGTGTGTTTCTTCTTCGGGCCCTGTTTCCTGCTCTACACCCAGCCCTCCCTGAGCAAAGAGGTGGCCACCCGCATGCAGATCTTTTGTGACGTGGTCACCCCGATAATGAACCCGCTGGTCTACACGCTGAGGAATAAGGACGTCAAGGCGGCACTCAAGAAATTGAAAGGTGGCTAATCCCAGTGCAGATAATGTTGCGAGCTGCACTAGAAACTCTTCCCCTTCCCCCGCAGCTTGTGGGAATGAAACTATTGGGAGAAATGGGGAGAATTTAAAAAGGAACAAAGGGCTTGTATGTACACCACTGCTATTGAAAGAAAGTGGGATTTGGGAACTCAATTCATGTGCTTGCTTTTAGGAAGCTCACTCCACATTCTCTGCGGGTAGAACACCACTGAGATTGCCAGAGTGACATCAGAGCTTGGGTACGGCTGGCCAGGAGGTCAGTGGGTGAGACCAGGGTTTGGATTAGATCAATAGACTGGTAAGGCCATAAGGGACAACCGCCATTGCCTGCATTGAAGAATGGTTCAGAGAACCCCTAATCCTGTCGTCTGACAGTAGCCAGTGAAATGTCCCCAGAAGGAAGCCTCCCTCGGTACTTTTGGAAAAACTTCCAATCCTGATTTTAAAATTGTCCTTGATGGAGACGCTCCTTAGTAAATGTTCCAAAGGCTAATTGGCTCATGCTGTATTTCCAGTCTGAATTTGTCTGGCTTCAGCTTGGAGCTACAGGATCTAATGAGACCTTTGTCCACTAGACGGAAGAGCCCCATACGAAATATTAGGTCCCCAGCTTGTTACTTATAGACCCTAATGAAGTTACCCCCTAACCTGCTGTATGTAAAGACAACCACTGTGATCACTTTCAGTCTATCACTGTACGGCACGTTTTCCCGTACTTCAGCTGTTCTCATGGCTTTCCACTTTATTAGCACCCATGGAGAATTGCAAACACCAGACCAGGACACAGTGTACCAGCAGGGCCAGACACAAGGGTAAAATTATAGACCCTAATGAAGTTACCCCCTAACCTGCTGTATGTAAAGACAACCACTGTGATCACTTTCAGTCTATCACTGTACGGCACGTTTTCCCGTACTTCAGCTGTTCTCATGGCTTTCCACTTTATTAGCACCCATGGAGAATTGCAAACACCAGACCAGGACACAGTGTACCAGCAGGGCCAGACACAAGGGTAAAA